TGTGACTTTCCCTATACCTGGGAAGTTTTCTGCTGTTATCTCATTGAGTATGTTTTCAATGCCATTTCCTTTTTCCTCCCCTTCTGGAATACCCATGATTCGGATATTTGAGTACTTAAAGTTGTCAGTTGTCTCGCTTCAATTTTCTTCAATTTTTTTTATTCTTTTTTTCTTTTTTCTGGTCTGCCTGTGATAATTCAAACAGCCAGTCTTAGAGGTCAGAAATTCTCTCTTCTTCTTGTTCAAGTCTGCTGGTTAAACTCTGTGCTGTATTTTTTATTTTGTTGAATGAACCCTTCAGCTTCACAAGCTCAGCTACATTCTTTTTCAAGGCATTGATTTCTTTGTACATTTCTTCTTTCAGATCCTGTATGTTTTTTCTCATTTCATTGTGTTGTCTAACTGAGTTTTCTTGTATCTCATTTAGTTTCCTTAGAATAGTTACTCTAAATTCCTTGTCTGTCATTTCAACGACTTTCTCTTCTATAGGATCTAGCACTTGTAAGTTATTAATTTTCTTTGGTGATGATGTACTTTCTTGATTTTTCATATTTCTGGTTTCTTTACTTTGGTGTTTTGTCATTGTGGCTGGGGGTATCACAGTTCACTCATTTCATCCTGATGTCTGGCTTGGATCCCGAAGGGTCTGCTGCTTCTGGATAGCAGAATCTAGCCTGAACTGGAAGTCCCACCCCACGTGCCTTCACTGGTTGCTCGGGTAGCATGTCAAGAGCCTCTCAAGTCACTCATGGAGACAGAAGGCCTGGGCCGGATGTCCTGCCCTGCCTGTGTTCACCAGCTTGTCTGGCTTGGGGCTTGGCAACCCAGAGCCTCTCAGGTCACTCAAGGAGACAGGATGGTCTGGGCCAAAATTCCCACCCCATCACCCTTCACCAGCTTGTTTGACTTGGGGCTTAGGATCTCGGAGCCTCTCAGGCTGCTCACCGAGATGGGACAGCCTGGGCCAGAATTCCCACCCCATCAGCTTTCACCAGCTCGTCTGGCTGAGGGTTGGGAACCCGTGCCTCTCAGTTCACTCACGGAGATGGACAGCCTACACCAGAAGTCCTGCCCCAGCCCTGCCTGCCTTCTCTGGCCGGCAGGCTGGGGGCGTGTGAGCTCAAAAGCTCTAAAGTTTCTCTACCAAATGGGGAGCAACCTGAACTGGGGTTCCATGGCGGGTGGCTCCTGTTCATTCCAGCACAGATTTTGGGTCCTCTGTCACTGCTCCTCAAAAGCTGCAAATTGGTCACTCTGTGGGAGAGAGCAACACCAGGAACCGACTACTCTGCCATCTTGACCCCTCCTCCCCAGTGATTTTATAAGCATTTAATTCCTTGCATTAAAGTCCTTTTCTGGAGCTGAATATCCATTTTTCAAAGGAAGACATACAAATGGCCAACAGGTACATGAAAAAATGCTCAACATCACTAGTCATCAGGGAAATGCAAATTAAAACCACACTGAGGTATCACCTCCCCCCAGTTAGACTGGCTATAATCAAAAAGATGGTGAATAACAAATGCTAGTGAGGGCGTGGAGAGATGGGAACAATCCCGCACTGTTGGTGGGACTGTAAATTAGTACAACCACTATGGAAAACAGTATGGAGTTTTCTCAAACAGCTACAGATAGATCATCCATATGATCCAGCAATCCCACTTCTGGGTATATACCCAGAGGAATGGAAATCATGTGAAAGCGATACCTGCACTCCCATGTTCATCACAGCTCTATTTACAATAGCCAAGATATGGAACCAACCTAAATGTCCATCGATAAATGATTGGATAAGGAAACTGCGGTATATATACACCATGGAATACTACTCTGCCATAAAAAAGAATGAAATTCTCCCATCTGCAACAACATGGATGAGCTTGAAGAAACTTATGTTGAATGAAATAAGCAAAGCACAGAGGGATAAATACAATATGTACTCACTCATATGTGGGAGCTAAGAGAGAGAGAAGGAAGGAAAGAAAGATCACAGTGGTGCATTGGACTTGCAGAGGGAGAGAACATACCTAGGGATACAAAGTGGAGTGGGGAAAGGGGGAGGGGGAGAGAGATTGGGGATAATTGGGTAGGGGACAGGGGGTATAATTGCAATTTGTGGTAATGGGCATGCTGCCAGTATGGATCTGAACTTCATATCTAGGGCACGAGGGAGGACAATCAGCTTCGTATATCCATGAATATTCATAACCAATAAAAATAAATATATAAATAAATTACTTTTCTATTTTGCTAAAAAAATAAAAATAAAAACAAAGTCCTTTTCTGTCTAATTTGGTTTTTGTTTTCTGCTATGATCTCTGACTTAGTCTAATGATCTGTGATACAATGACCTAGTGTAAGTACTTTTCTTCAACCCCCTTGTATACTATGAGTTTTAAAAAAATTAGACACATGACACATGAATACATTCACTTGCAGAGGTTTAAACCTTACAAGAAAAATAAAACAAAACATGAAATTCTCCTATTCACAATCTTTTCCCAATTTTCACTTCCTTTCATGAAAAAAACTTGCTTGTATGCAGCCTTCTGTTCTTTTTTGTATGTATACACACACACACACACACACACACACACATGCACACACATGCACACACACACATGGGTCTTCAAAAAGTTCATAGAAAGATTCAAATTATTTTTTAATTTCACTTTCCATGAACTTTTTGAAGTACCCTTGTCTGTATATATGCTTATACATACACACATATATATTTATACAGACATATTTTTCTGTTTTATTTAAATGGGGCCATATTGGGCCGGCCCGGTGACGCACTGGATAGTGCGCCGCTTGGGAAGCGCGGCGGCGCTCCCGTCCGAGGGTTCGGATCCCACATACAGACCGGTTCCCGCTCACTGGCTGAGCAAGGCGCGGGAGCAACACCGAGGGTTGCAATCCCGTTGCTGGTCCCCGGTCCGGTACGGGCGTGACACTGAGGGTTGCGATCCGTTGCCGGACACGGAAAAAGACAAAAAGACAAATAAATAAATAAATAAATAAATGGGGCCATATTGTAAAAAACCTTCTATACTGTGCTCTTTTTACTTAATAATATGTTGTTCTGAAGACAATTCCATCACTGTCCAAACTCCTCAATTTTATACATTAAATGTACAGATTTTTGTATATCAATTAAACCGTAATAAAACTATAAAATAAATAAAACAAAAAATGCCTTTAATAAAAAGACATGATTTGTCTGATAGTAGGGTTGAATAATTGGGGGAAGTTTATCCTTTTATATTATAGTTTAAAACAAGTATCATGTTTATCTATAATCTAGTCCAATGTTTGGAAGTTCTGAACTCTGGAACTTTGGTAAAATGTCTTTATTATAATAAGAACAATCTGTTCATTTGTACAATTGGGCTTTTTTGCACATCTTGATGTTCCTTGCAGAATTATCCATAGACAAGTAATATTAGTTTTCTGGTTAGGATGCTTCAAGAAACTATGGATCTATAATGGCTCTTAAGTGCTAAGCTTTTAAGAATTACTGGAGCATTTTTTCATATGACTGTTGGCCATTTGTATATCTTCCTTAGAGAATTGCCTACTTAGCTCTTTTGCCCATTTTTTTATTGGGTTGTTTGTTTGTTTTTTGTAAAGTTGTTTGAGTTCCTTGTATATTCTGGATATTAATCCTTTGTTGGATGTATATTTTGCAAATATTTTCTT